GAGCCCAGACCAATTTCTTGGTCGTGCCCTGGACTGTTCCAGAGGGATCGAGTGCTGCTCCTGTCACCGCAGCTCTGCAAGAGCAAGCTACCAGCGCAGGTGGCTTCCGCAGCATCTCTAATCCCTTTGAAACCATCTTTGGCAACGCTTCTGGTGCTGATGGAGTCTCAAGATCACCCGAGAATATCGCCTTCGTCAGACGTGTCTTCCAGACGGCTCCTTGCGACGTCGGTCTCCTGGTCGACAAGTCGACGCCTGCTGCGCCAGGATTCTTGCCCGGACAGCAGCATGTGCTCGTAGGCTTCATGGGAGGCCCTGATGACCGCTCTGCCCTCTCACTCGTTCACGCGCTTTGTGAAAGCAACCTGTCCCTCAGAGTCACCGTCTTGCGCTTCCGCCGCATCGGTGCCGATGAGGCGGGAGAGGCTCCGATTCCAAGCATGCCTCCAACAGTCCACCATGCTCAGCACACCCGCGCTCCTACTACAGGGGCTGGTGCACACGTTCAAGATACTATGTATCCGACTATGCAGGGCACTTCTTCCATCGAGGCGACTCTGGAGGATGATGTTGCACTCAAGAAGGTGGAAGATGCCAGCTCTTCGGGTGCGCTGTCCGGACGACTCGTGGTCAAGACGATCTCGACCTCCAGGCCCCTGCGCGACTTCATCCGCGCCGTCGACGAAGTGCAACCTACGCTGATTGTGTGCGGCAGGGGCCGTCGAATGCCCACCATGACGCATCGCGATGAATTGCGATTCTTGATTCGCAACGGGCTAGTGGATCCTCAGGCGGCGGATAACCTCAACGACGATTCTGCCAGCACAAAGGAGAATGCCAGCACAGAACGAGCTCTCAGCTCGGAGACTTGCAAGACTATAGGCGAGCCAGCTATGGCCATCACTAGGTTCGCCACTACTGGAGCTTCCTGCTTGGTTGTTGCTGCAAGTATGCGGGCCAGGCACATCGCGCAAGCTTGATCGCTTCAAGATATCATTGACGACTTCTACATTTCCCGATCGTGATACCGTGGCTACCTGACTCAACTGTAAAGCCGCCGCAATCCTATAACGCATCCGTCATCCATCGCCGTAACGACACGTATCCCGCACCGACGTTTACCATATCTATCCCCCTGGAGCCCGCCTCCACCGTGTACGCTTCAACTCCGACGTCACCGAAATGATTTGATGACCACTTGTAAGACGTGACTGCTGGCCAATGCTGAGGGAGGTTCTTGACACTGATATTCGAAATGGCCGCTCAGAATGGCCTGGGAAGCCCAAAATTACGGTAAAGTTAATGGGATGATCGTTCACATTTCCGTTAGGCTTTTCATCATGGCGCGATGCCTCGCGAGGCGCAGGGACATCCAGAGTGCGAAATCTATGTCATTGAATTGCTGCGCGCGAACGCAGCAGCAAGCCTTGCAAGACATGCCGAGGTGCGCGACACGTGCGAGCAAACATCAAATGTTTCCTGGTAGCGAGCGCTTCAAGCAAATGGGAAAGCCTTGTCAGCTCTTGTGCGTTCCGTCTCAAACGCCGCAGCATCGATGTCCCAGTCGCGTATCAGACCAGAGTCGATCTGATCGCGATGCGCCTCGTCCAAATACCGCAAAGCAAGATCTTTGTACAGCTCTGCCCCTTTATACTTGGCCGTAGCTTCAGGCCACTCCCTCATGCTCGAAGCCAATCTACCGGGCACGCCAGCTTCTTTGGCAAATTCAGTGATGGGCGTGAGGTAGGTTCGGATGGTGAAGACGATGGCTCCAGAACGAGGTAGTCGACGCAAGGTTTGCCGCTCTGCTCTCATGCAGATGCTTGCTGGATCCGTCGCTACTTGGGGACCTTTGAAAGCGCCCTCCTCCTCCTCCTCCTCCTCCT